TTCCTTGCTTCCTTGCTTCCTTGCTTCCTTGCTTCCTTGCTTCCTTGCTTCATTTAATACTTTTTCCTTCCTTCTACTCCCTCCCATTCTTCCTCTTTCCTTCATCAATCCCATCATATTTTCGTTTCTCTTGTCTTTTCTTCTTTTTTACATGCCTCCCTCTCTTCCTCACGTTCTCACGTCTGTTCTTTTGTTTATCATAATAATGTTAATTATCTTTTCATTTCAAGGCATTCAGTTTCAGCGGCGACTACGTTGCCATACCAACAATACTCCTATCAGCCGTACACCATAATGGACCAGGAGGTCTGGTACCCGACTACAATAGTGTTTCAACTGGGTCGAGGTAAGTAGGAGGCCGAACAGACTGGCTTGATGGGCTACCTGTGTTTATTTCAACATTATCATCTAAAAACGAGATCTCATTATATGGAATTTGAAAAGAAAAAAAGTATGTTATCTAAAAATCATAATGGGGTCCCTGTGTTTCCTGCAGTTGATTAAAGAATTTTTAAATCTCATTATCTGCTCGAGTCCAATTAAAATTTATTTCTCTCAATAGCAAATTTGCCAATGTACATGAGAACGAATCTCTACCTAAAAGCATGATGGGATACCGAGTACCTACGGGTTTTTCGATCGACTCCTTTAAAAATTCCTCTGAATTTTCATTAGACATTTTCTAAAAAATGTAGGTGTTTCAACAAATAAAAATAACTGAGTAATTTTTTCTCGATATTCCCTTCAATTTCCCTGTTCCATTTTTGCAGTACACGGTTTCCCAGAGTGCTTTGTGAGCTTCGATTCACATTCCACGAGACAGGAAATGAAGCTATCTTGATTTGATGTTTTGCAGAAGATGAATGCAACAGACTGTAGCATCTGTGTTCGACAACACCATAAGCAAACGGGTGGATACGATCCACTGACTGTATCAGTCATGATTCTAGGTATGTATATACATCCGCATCAAGAAATAGGTGCTGTTTTTGCAAGAGCACGCGGGCTTCCTGTGGCAAAATTGAATCATTAGTCTAAAGATCCCCGATCGAAAACAAACATGGCTGACAGTTCTTGTGTTGTTTCTCTCGAGTATCTGAAAATTTCGGTAATTTCCTACTTATAAATTTAGGTTAAGAAAAAATTGTATTTTAATTTATCAACCAATGCGTAAGGTTTTTGTTTTTATTATATGTAGAGCATTTCTTATGTTTGTACTCAATTGCTTTTCCTGATAATACCTGAAAACCTAAACCGATTTTCGTGTTAGATATGACTTGAATTTTCTCAGCAGCTATGTTTGTTTTCTTGAAGAATTTGGCGCAAGCGCGTACGACTTTCAGCCCTTTCCCTTCTAATGTGTTCAATGTACGCGTACAGCAATATTAGAGAGTTTTAGACTGACTTTATTTCTCCCCGCAAACGGCACCACGTTTTCATAGTTTTCCTGTATTTTACTTTACCTTTTACAAACCTTCTCACCAAGCGCAAATACTCTTTTGTTTTTCTACTACTTGGACTTTTTTGCGATTCTTTTTCAGTCATTTAAAAGAATTTTTTACTGGTCAACTGAAGTTTCAAGTTTGCCGTGAACGTATATCTAAAACTCACTAATATGATGCTAAGCTTTCCTAAGGTTTTCTTTTACTTTTATTTCAGGATAATAAGCCTATTTCTTTAGCATCAGTTCATGATCAGCTTTGAGCTCTCTGTAAACACACTAAACATGGATGAGGGAAGTAAACTATTAGTGTAGGAAATGTTTTTTGTAGTCATTATTTGTTTGCGCGTAATGTTTTCCCATTCAAGACCACTTTTCATTCTCTTGAGAATAACTTTTACTTTGTTTGAGTTGTATCCATGATGACTCTCAAAACTCCAGGAAATGCGGCCTCATTTCTGAGGTCTGTAAACAAAAAAGCAAAAGTTAAAATAACAAAACAAGCAACTCGTGGATTCGAGGCTTAGACCGCATACTTGGAATATTAAGTCTTCAATTCCTGTATCTTCTCAAACGCAACCGTTAAACAAAGAAATGATACTCTAGGAAATGACATGTGGTCTGAAACACCACCACTATAAGGTAAATTCTTTAAGCGGTTTTTACTTTACGCGTAAGCGAGAAAATTTCTTGGGTTTGGAGGCGGGAAAGGCAAGCCATGCGTTTTGCAAAAAAAAACCCTGCCAAATTTAAAGGAACTCTTTCGACATATTTCATCATTAGATCTTTAGCGTGATGCAGTCGTATGGAAAAATCGACTTCCGGGTCCAAAACGAAAAGCAGTTATTAGATAAAGATTTTTCTCTTTTTTGTTCTTGTTGTTGTGTCCAAAGCTCTAAATTATTCAGGTGTAAGTTAAATCGTTGAAAAAAAATTTTTCGATTTATCTTAGCGATGATATCGAGCAGTTCGAGCCGGAAATACGTCACAACTCAAGAGCTGTACTTGAACTATTTGAACCAAACTCAAAGTAGGCAAATGTGCCATTTGCATGATTTCGACATTTTATTTTCACAACTTTTAATACCAGAATGCTTCTTGAATTCTTTCTAATTTGAATCCACGTTTGCAAGGCATTCTGGTATTTGTAGTATACAACCCCATATTGCCAAATAAGTTTAAGCATGCAGCTTCTTTGTTTAAATCAAGGCTCAATTCATGGTTCAGACTCCCCTTAGTTACCGTTGGTATGTCCAACAGGCTCAAACGTTTGGCTAAATATCTTATAATATGAAACTCTTATCTCAAAAAAATGTTAAATATTTCCATTCCTTGTAGTATTCTTGAGAACATGTAATATGCTAGTAGAGTCCTTTAGCATGACGTTCTCGCTAGCCCCGCAAACCTCAAACTGCAGTTCAACGTTCAAACTTTCCGCAACGTTTAGGGATGAGGGCAAAACAATTGTCATTTCACGGGACCCGATTTAGGGGGGAGGGGTGGTGTTATCCCGTACCCACCACCTCTGGAAGTGAAATCTTAGATTTTGCCCCCAAATATCTCCAAAACTAAAAGCCAAATCACAGTAATAAATGGACTGTCTGTCTGCATGTATGCTAAGAAACATATTCGTGTATAGAAATTGCCACTACACACCCCCAGTATTGAGCATTTCAACAGGTCTCTGAGGGGGAGGAGGGGTTAAGTACCGATACCAACCATCTTAATTCATAAAATCGGGTCCCTATTTTGGACCATTGTTCTGACCTCAAGGCGTCATTTCAAAGTTGTTGCTGGAAGAGACGCCATATTGAATTTCATTGATGCTAAATGTTTCTCCGTGTTAGCGGTAAACCTGATGCTAAATATCTCTAATGTCTCATCAGTTCACCGCGTATGTTTGGATACCAGTTATTGTTTAGTCAAAATAAAACTATCCATTTAAAAAAATAGTTTCTGCATTATTCAAAGACGCCATATTGTCTCTGGAACTACAATCGACTCATCTAATTACGCGATATTTGGACTTAAAACGACAATGATGTCTGTATTTTATTGCGGAAGTCTTTCCTTTGTAGCAAATCGCTGTCTGGATTTAGAAATCAAACAGTGACAAAATAGAAACGATTTTCCTCCATGGGAGGGAGGGATGGGAAGCAGGATTAGAGTGCATAGTTGAGTTTAAAATTCTCTAATTTGAGCTATTTGGGGATTCAAGGTGTAGTGTAGCAATAATGAACTCGCTCTCACCTCTGGAGTCTTGGGTTAGATTCCTGGACTCTGCATCACATATATTAGTGAACCAAGGTTGGCGAAGCAGTACTGCACTCGCCTCTCATCTCTCTCAGGTTTCCTTCCTGCACCTCGGGCATCACATGCGAGACAGTAGAGTTTGTTAAGTCTTTCCCTTGCCATTAAAGGTGATTTGATGTGAGTGAACTAGAGGAGACTATGTCTTTCTTCCCTCCGCAAACTAATAAACTTTTCAAATTCTGTTTTAATCATGGAATGAGAACCATAGGTTTGTTAGCCACTGGCTACGAGCACAATTTAATGGTGTGCTTTGATATTTCGTCAATGGCGCCTAGCGGGGTTTCCTTCATCATTAGTCAGTGCTGCAACTTATTAATCACGATAGGTGCCAAAGTCCTGTTAAAATGAAATTGTGCCTTGCGAGTAATAATGCTTTAAAAAGGACTACAGTGTCTCAGCTGTTCAATTCGGTCTATCTATATCACGTCATATAAGTGACAGATCTATTCTAACGGCTTTACGGAAAACCGTCACGTTAAAAGCTCAATTTAAAGTACGGATTACGTCATTAAAGTAATCTTACAATACCTTATAGTACTTTAGCTTTCAAATTCTTTAAAACATACCAGTYTTAAACAAAGGAACTTTTGTATTTCTCGGCAAAACTGTATCCCTTCTTTGAAGCAATCACATTTTCTTAGGTATTTTAGAAGAAAATCTTCTTTGAAGTACTATGCCTCCTAAACTCTTTTCGCAAAGTTTTACTAAAGAGAATAAGATTCGAATTTTGGATAAAAATTTAGCGGAGAATTAGTTCTCAACAAAGGATGTTCTTAGATTCCTGTGCAAACACTTCGGACGTACATATGACAGCACAAAACACACGCCAATACCAAAGTTTTTTCATTATGTAAATAACATTTGCATTTAACTCTATTGAAGCATCCTTCGAAGATTATGCTATACATTCCAAAGCCTAAGAATAGCAGCTGGTCAATGCCAAGTGGGAATCAAATGCTAAAAGTCTGTCGAGATTCTATGTGAGTTTAGACACTTACGTCACTGTAACTCGTACGAAAAAGTGTTTTTAAATTTGTGAGAAAGAAGAAAGAAGTGTTGTCGTAAATTCGAGTTTTTCTATAGTTTCAAAGAAATTTAATTTAACTAAACAAACAAAATCTTGAAGAAACCGTTGACTACACTTCTGTAAAGTTTGCACCATCGCTCAGTAAAGATGCCTACTTTAGCTGCAACCACCGCAATGGAAGCTGGAAGTTCTATTTTGAGTACTGTATCTTCAAGCTTATCGACAGAGAATGGAACAAGCGGTACTCCATCAGATGAAACTAATGTGCTTGTTGGCATAGTTGTTGAGGTGGTGATACTAATTCTGGTATCAGGCAATCTTTTGATGGTCTTGACTCTCGTCCACTACAAGCCGTGGTCCATAACAGACCTTCTTCTATTTTCTCTCTCGTTCTCTGACTTCATCAATGGTGCTATTCCAGCTCATATTTTAAACATCGTGAATAGTTTTTATGGCCAAAATTCTTGGTCTTCAGGACTGTGTTCGGCGTTTATTTGGATGACATTTACTTTGCGAATGATATCAGTGTTTACTATCACACTCATATCTGCGGAACGAATGCTTATGTTAACCCGTCCTCTTCATCATCACAGTGTTATAACGATAGGGAAAGCTCGTATCGCGGTCGCAAGCGTATGGGCACTCGCCATATTCATAGCAATCCTCCCTTTTATTGGAGCAGGAAAATCTGGTTTCGAAAATGGGTATTGCTATTACCAACTGTACAATCTAGGAATTGCATTTGGGTATATCATTGAAACAATTGGAGTCATCCAACTCGTTCTTGTACTAGCTTGTTTTATTGCGATACGTCTGTCCAGTGGAAAGTTTATCAAACGGCAAAGTGTCATGGCGGCTGCGAACCAAACAGGAGCAAGAGACACACAAGGAAAGGCTCAAGAAACAGCTGGAATCAAACAAGTCAAACAATTGTCCAAAATGATGGGGATTGTAGTCATTCTGTACTATATTAGCTGGCTGCCATATTTGGTAAGTTGGTGGACTTCGTTTTTTACTTCTTTTTTTTCTTTTCTTTTTTTTTTTTCTCCCCCTTTCTCTCGACGTTTTTATTTCATTTTCTTTTTATTTCTCTAAGAATTCTCTTTATTATTCGTAAAAACAAATTTTCTCAGGGCGCCATGATTATTTTATGTTCTTTAAGTTCCGTCATTTGCCGTTTGTTGATATATTTGTCAGGGGTTGATATTATCAGTGCCGTTCATTTGAAGAAATTTCATTTCAAGAAATTGAAATTTCTTTTCTTAACTTTACTTCCGTTGTCATTTCTTCCTCTTTTGTTCTTCTCTTCTCTTCTCTTCTCTTCTCTTCTCTTCTCTTCTCTTCTCTTCTCTTAATTATTTACCTTCCCTTATTTCCCCCCGGCTTACCCTTTAATTTGTTCTTTTGTTGTTTGTTGTTTTTTCATCGCCTCCTTCACAACACGAATCATCATCAACCACATTTTCATTATCTACTTTCCGGCTGTAATAAAGCCATAGTTTACCGGCTATTAAGAATAAATTCAATCTATCACAACATTCAAAGTATAACACCATTATTATTTCAGAGGGACTTACGAAGTGATTGCAAAGAGAGCTTTAATCAGTTCAATAACACCGATATCATTTTAGTTTCCTAAAGGTAGATGAATACAAAAGATAACCGCTTGCGAAGATGATATATCAAAAATTCAATTTAACTTTTCTTCTAATTGTCCCGCCTATAGCATTAGATTAAAAACAAAAATGAAACAATTCGTGCTGAACTCGAAATCTTGATTGCATATAAAAAAAGCCGAGTGTTGATGTAATGAAATTTTATCTTTCCAATTCATCCTAAAGTACTACGGTTCTGTGCTATAAAACAGATCTAGTTTACTTTACAAAAATGCCTACTGTTTGCCTAAAGAATGAGTTTTGACAGCTGAATCTTTGTGCAAAGAATTTTAAAGAAGTCGAAACCCGTTTGCATATGAATTCGTGCTAAAAAAAAATTAAAAGCTTTGACACTTTGTAAATGCTCTATAAAATGAGAATTAAAATTGGTATTTTGAGGGATTTCCGTCGGTAAAAAAAAATTTGGATAATTTTTTTTTTTTTTATTTTTTTTAACAGATTAACTGTATTATGGAAGATGGAAATTTAATTTTGAGCTTAAGAAGTGTATTTAAAATATTTATATAAGTTCCATTGTCGCACGTAAATAACAATCGTAAAAAGCAAACACTGCTGATATTGTGTAATTTTCATTTCTTAGAAAATTGAAAAACTAGAATTTTCTCTCTTTTCTTTCCTCTTCTCCTTCTCCTTCTCCTTCTCCCTCTCCTTCTCTCTCTCCTTCTCCCTCCT